TTCTCAAGTGCCTACTGCCATAATAAGTAAAAATCCAAAAATGTGTGCCTTTAGACTGGCCAGTAGTGTTGTGCAGGGAATGCATTATTCACCATTAGTCCATCACATGAAAGGCATCACGAATGAGAGTGTCACATAGGCTTATGGGTTAGAGTGAGGAGAGAGTTTATTTGGCCAGCGTTTGGCCCCTGAGTTCCGCTTTGGGTTTAAAGCACCTCAGAAGTAACCCACCGCTGCCCCCATGTCTTGCTTCTCCACATCCAAACTGGCACTGATGTATATCAACTCTGAACACCTGTTCCCAATGATGAAAAGTAGATGGCAGCTTTGCAGACATCTTTGGTCTAATTTTACATCAGATATGCAAGCCACAGATGTCATTTTAAAGGTGGACTAAGTCTCTGATTAACATACTAGCTCTGAAGTTGACATCTTTCGGTGTGTACTCAGAAAACCAGAGGTATTTTCAATGGTGGTAATGGTGGTAAGAAGGGGACTAATTATGAAGTCTTGTGGGTTTCTGAGGCAGGTGGGCCCCTCTATGACAAACTGTGCTGATGTGGAAACAGACGGCAGGCAGAGCGCTGCGTGCTCCACATTAGTGAGCTGCTTTTCTTTCCACCCAGAAACCCATTTCAGGCTTTGGATTTTCTTCAAGCACAAGCCAGAAGTCTCATGCTTCTGAAAAATGTTTTGCTCTGCCCTGTCAGCTCCACACAGTTGATCTCCCATACACAGGGGGAAGCTGTGTGTTGCTTCAGATGGAACGTGGAGGAAAGAAACTTATGTCCTTTGGTTAACATCCCTAGGAACTATTATGACTTTGCCATCAATTTTCAGATCGCTTAAGTTATAGGTCAGTGGACAAGAAACACTTTAAGATACTTGAATTGTTTTGTCTGGGGAGTTCTTCACTTTTAGTTGGTAAATAGTATTGCTAGCAATGCTTTGTTTCATTTTTACTAGAAATATCTAAAAAGAAATGTATTCATCAAGGAAATTTTCATGATTCATCAGAATATCATAATAATTTGAGTATGTTCATATTAGTGTGTATCTGTGTGTATAGGTAAAATATAATGTAAGACATTTCTGATTTACTAGAAGACACGTTATAGGTAGAAGGGCTTCACTAGCTTGATGAGTTGACAAAGGTACATTGCATGCACTTTGAGAATAGAGTTCAAGTTTTGCTTTTTTTTTTTTTAAATCTAGTTTCTAGGACCTAGTAGATTTCCTGCACAAAGCAGATCCCAATAAATATGTAAATAATGATGAATAAACATGCGTGCATATACAAATTCATAATCAATAAGATGCAAAGTATATCCTGCTGTGAGTGTCAACATTTGAAACCAATTTTGTTATTCTAATTTATAAAAGAATATCCTAATGCTAACCAAAAGAACATTTAAAAAAATTCTAGGCCATAACAGCAAAAATCATACTTGATGTAGTTACTGAAAGTAATCCACTATCATGTACTTAAACCTACTTTGAAATTATCCTTAGGTAAGTACCATATTTCATCTATATTCATGGAAGGGTGAAAATGTGATGGAATCAGTGAGCTAGAAATAGAAATAGAATCCTCATAATATTTATCCTGATAGAAAAGATTTTTGTGGAGATTTAAAAGCATGGCTTGCAAACATTTTATTGCTGGCAAGTTCTCCAAAAAGCATGAGGTTAATTCCTGTGATTGAGTCAACCCTCAAATAAGAGGGTCCAATGTGACAGCTTACTGCTGTTTCTTTCCTCATTTATTTATCTGCTGAATTATTCATTATTTCCCTGGACACTAGCTGTTAATAGTGTATTAACACATACATATTGGGAACATACTATAATAGGCAAGACTCAGAAGTGGAGACCTTTTATAGTTAAAAGACATGCATATTGATAAGCCTTCAGCTATCCTTCAAAAAGTAAATGCAATAATCTTGACATGCAGCATTGTATTCTCAAACTCAATAAAGAAACCAAACCAGTTTTAGGAGTAAAGATGGAGGATAGTTAGCTGAAGATTTCTTTGATACTACTCAACTCTAAGGCACAACCCTTTCAAAGAAGTCAATTAAGCAGAAGGTAAACCTAACCCTATGAACCTGAAGAAAGCACTTACCTTTGCCAAACTCTACTTTCTACATCAGTAAATTTCCAGTCAGATAAAATTCTGAATTTGCTTCTTTTAAAACGTCCTCACATTCTGCAACAGCAGGCAGGCAGAAAAAAAAAAATCACCAACCCATGCCTGACAGTATTTGAGTTGTTACTTCCAGCTTTATAGCCACAGGTGGCTGGCGCAACTCCCCTCCCAAAGCTCCAGCACCCAAGGTACTTAGGAAATTTTAAAGTGGTAGCATACTGCTTGTGTACACACATAAAATAATTATAGCAACAAGCACAGTGAAATTCAAATGAGGGAGGCGGGAAATCATGAAAACGTGCACAGAGGAAACCTTGACAGAGGGAACGGTTAGCCTGGCAGCGAGGACGGCACCCATGGCGCAGCAGCTACCTCAGGTGCATGCGTGTGGCCACCAGGGGCGACGCAGGACGGGGCGCGATGACAGTTCCCGGCCAAAGCTCATTCTACAGCTACTTATCCATCTGCTAAGCTGTGGCACATCCTTTTCATTAACGCTTCCTCAGAGCACAGATTTCTTACTCTCTCCAAGAGCCACTGTAGGAGAACCAGCAATGAAAAGAAAATGAAGAGATGAAACTAACGAGGCATATGTTCTTCGAATTGCAATTTCAGTCTTCCTGTTCACAACATTGATTCAATATTTGTATAAGGAATCAAATATATGTATACATGTATATTACCTATCAAGCATACTCTCTTTTATAAAACCTTGTAGAAAATTAGGAAGTGTTTCAAAATTAGGTTAGCTTTTGTTTGTTTTTAACTGCCTTTTTACCAGGGATACTTTTTAAGAGCTCATTCTCTACTCTACTGAAATAATGTTATTTGGCTCCAAATCAGGTTTAAAATGACTGCATTTAATAACTTTTAAACTAAGCTAATTTTGAGCTCACAGTGAATCAGGGTGATGTCACATAGCTCATTTCAGTAAAGTAACTCAGGGCAAATGAAAGTTCAGCAGAGCTGGGAACTTTGTGTTTCTAGTTCATCAATTCATCAATGCTTGCACTTTCTGGAATGCTCAGCATAGCGACCAGAAACACTTTTTTTGCGAATTAAAATGATCTTTTTTTTTTTACGGCTGGAGAGGAGCAGAGTGTCATTGGCTGAGCTATCCTGGTGGCAGTTTGTATTTATTACCTATAAGTCTGATGTAGATAATGGTGATTGTGCAGCTTGCTGTAAAAAGAGCAATGGAAAAGGCACACTCAAAGAATAAATTCAATGCTGTTTTTACATTCTGTGTTAAAGAAAGACAATGACACCCATTAGAGAAATCCACTTTCTCCCCCGTGGTTAATATTTTAATATGTACTCTCTTTAATCATTCATTCATTCACTTGATAATTCATTTCACAAATGGTTAGTGAAGTCATGTGTCAGACATGATGGAATCATTGGGCAGTCAACACAAGACAGAGTTTCTAGCTTCAAGGACATTATCATCTGATGGGAAAGACAGACACATTTTCAGAATCTTTGGTATAGTTTGATAAATGCACAAATGGAGATATTTATATGCTGCAATAAAAAGAAAAAGGAGGTTGCACCCGGGACGGTGTTGGGTTGGGAGAGACCAAGGGAAGAGCTGAGAGGATGTGCCCCTTTGGATTATTACCTCACTGAGGATGTTTTCCAGGTGCATTTCCTTCCAAAGTGGGGGCTCACAAGTCTGATGGAAGCTCAGCATGTGTAAGAAGAGGCAGATTGAGAGCAAGGTCAAAGTCAAAGAAGAACAAACTGATGTGAGTAAGAGAGAAGAGGGGAGACTGATAAAAATAGGAATCACACAAAGGTTGAAGAGACTTGAATGTTTTTCAGCAGATAGAAAGACCTTTTTCTCCTTTTCCATCCTGTTCTGTGGACTCAGTTTACACCATTGTACTACTGAAAGGGCACTTGGAGGAGTCACATGGAGGAAAGACATGTAGAGACACTTGACAGAGACATGTTGGTACTCTACATGCATGGTAAATCTAATCATGGCAGCCATTATTTTCATGTGGTATCTTCTTTTGTCCCAGGTCTCTAAAACCTACTTGACCACCTTCTTGCCATTCCCGCCAGAAGGTTCCTTAGACTGTTGCATATTTTTGGGCTTCAGGAGCCCTGCTCTGAGCCAACCCCTTTTGACTGGGTATTTGCCTATGAGAGAATGGATAAATTTCAGAATTTTAACAGAACTATCTTCTCTTCTCTATGTATACTGATACTATTAAAGAACTTTCATATGAAGAGTTTGCTTCCTTTGTCTTTGTGTGCATGGACAGCCAAATCCTTTTCAGAACATGCACCCCTTAACGGATGGGGCTCCCAAATGCCCCTCGTTTGCATGCTAACACAGGCCTGAATTGCATGTGGACTTTCATGGATATCTATCTTGCAAATGACAGGTTATGGAAATTCTTACCCTCTTCGATCATATAAGACCACTCCTCATGATATATTTCCTTTATATGTATCCCACTTGTTCTATTACACAGGAAAGCCCCAATACAGATAACACATGTAGGTAGATAATCAGCATAGTTCTTGGTTTTAATAATCCTGGAGCCAAAAATAAATATTTGCCTTGTAAAGACCCATTTTAAAATTCTATACATATATTACCCTACTTATCAATGGAAACTGCCATTAAAATTTCTTTCAGATTTTTAGGAAAAGTTTCAGGATCATACGATCTTTAACTTTCTTTAACTCACTTTCCTCAAAAGTCACCCTCCTCACTTAAGTTCTTTCTCCATTCCTACCATTTCTACAGTTATTCATCCTGAATAACATCATCCCAAAGAATAAAGGGTATACAGTTAACTGTGAATTTTGTTAAAATATAGAGTTTTGTGAACTTCCTGTATCCTGGGCATCAGATGGCGTAGCCTAGAATTTGAGTGCACGAGGGTATCGGAGGTCAGGCAATGGCCAAGAATAAAGTAAGAGGACCGAAGTCTAGGAATGTATTTCACATAGCCAGTCAGAAAAATTTTAAGGCTAAAAACAAAGCAAAACCAGTGATGACTAATCTGAAGAAGATAAACATTGTTAATGATGAAAAAGTTCACAGAGTGAATAAAGCTTTTGTAGATATACAAAAGGAACTTCTACATTTCTCAAAAGGCCTTTCTCTTGAACCTCTGCAAAAACAGCTGACTCCTCCTCAGCAGTGTCATGAAAATGAACCAGTTAATGTTGACGAAGCTACAAGATTAATGGCTCAGTTGTAATATACTGGTAATGCATTAAATTTAAAAAAAAGAAAAAAAAATATAGAGTTTTGTCCACTCTCCAGATATTCTAAGTTATTAATTTTAGGTGGCAATCAAGAAATATCTTTATAACCAAAATTCACAAAACACCTAGTTACACATGGAAAACAAATCCATGTCCTTCCAGGAGGTGAACATGGCTTGCTCATGGTTCAAACTCACGGGGGATTCTTTTTACTAAACATAAGCATGCCTAGTAATGTTATTCATGACAAGGAATCCCGTCAGCACCATTTCATTGAATTTTGCCAGCTCTGGTACCTGCTCTCTTCTAAAACACCTGTTTCCTGATGACATGAAGTAGGTGCTTTGTTCCTGACAACCTCTCAGGGGTGCTTTTTACCCTGTGTCTCGGTCTAGTTTCTGTATCACAGTATTCAAGTATCTCTCTTAAATAGAAAGTATATCTCTCAACATACTAGGTAGTTAATACTACAAGTTACTTGTAAGTTAACTGTCACTCCTAAGCACACCAGGATGCAAAATAAGAGATTGTAGAATTAGAAAATAAACTGAAGACCCTGACTTGAGATCCCAGATATATTTTGAGTATTTCTCCAAACAATAGCAACTCATCATTTGACCACTCAGTGCCCAAAATATGTTCATGGTTTTAGAGAAAGAACTACAAAGGAAATGAGAAGCTACCCCAGTTTATAATATTTTATGATCTTGTTAAGGAGAGGTTTTAAAAGTTTTTAATGTAACTAATTCTATCTTTTTTTTTATAGGACACAAACAGTAGTGAGAAAGGTATTCAGAAAAGACTATTTGCCTTACTATACAATTCTCAATTAACTTTCTACATCTGTTTCTATTAAACAAGTTCTTTTTTAAATATTTGCACAACCAAGTAACCAAGTTCAAGTTTTGTCAGATTCAATATACCCAGTATGTAGATGGATTCTAGGTTTGACTGTTTCATTACTCAATCATTGATTTGGCAAATTTTTCTAAGACCCACTCTCCACTGATTCTTTTCTTTGCCACTGTGATTTAATCAGAGATCTAACTAGATAGGAAAGTACCTCAATCTGTCCTCCTCTAGATTGTACTGTCTGGTCTGTGTCAGTAGTGATGGTGTATTTAGGTAGAGGACTTAAATGAGGTAAATTAAAGTTAAATAAGGTAATAAAGGTGGTACATGAACTTGATAGGCTTCGTGTCCTTGTGAGAAGTGAGCCTGTGTATGAGAGCTCCTATTCCCCTGCTCTCTCTGTAGCTATCTCTATCACTTTCTGTCTCTCTCTCCATTGCTCTCCATGTATAGACATCAAACAAAGTCTGTGTGAAGAGTCAGCAAGAATGTAACTGTTTACAAGATTAAGAAAAGGTCCCTCTGGGCCCTCCCTGGTGGTGCAGCGGGTTAAAGCACTGCACTAAGAAGCTTAAGCCAATTTGGCATGAGTTCAATCCCTGCCTGCCCTGGAGGAGATACACATGGCGTGGCAGACCTCTCCTGACCCGCCCGCTGCTCCCCTCAGCAGTGTACTTCATAGATCTGCCTGTTCTGCTCCCCACTCTGCTCCTGGTGAATCCTCTCACCCTCCGCATCTCTGGCCTGGACCCCAGTTCTGTATTAATAAATAAATAAATCTTAAAAAAAAAAGGTCCCTCCACCCCACGAGTCACATCAGCCTGCACCTTGATCTTGTACTTTCCAGCTTCCAGAATGGTGAGAAAATAAAATTTTGTCGTTTAAGCTGCTCAGTCTGTGGTATATTGTATGGCAGCCCAAGATGAGAAATACAGAGGCTGATTTTCAACATCCTCATCTCTATTGTAAGTCTTCTGCAGTTGTTATATAACTAGACCTGTGATTTAACCAACCAACTTTGATCTAAATCTACAGTGACACTGATAATGTTTGCTTCCCACTTCTAGAAATGACCACACTTACCAGGGTACAGGATGCCTCTATGCCTACTAAGTGAACATGTATATAAGTAAAACTGTATCAAATTATTGCATGTTTCTATAGGTTCGCATGCACCCATTGCTGTAGAGATTTGATAAACTTCCACAGCTCAGTAATCAAAACAACTATTGTTCTTACCAGATCCTAGGTAATGTGCATAGGTTATTCATTTTTATCTCTACAAGAACCTGAAGGTTTTATAATAGTACAGGCTTGAAATTGAACCTCATACCACCGCCCCTCCCCCAGGTTGTAATTCTCCTCTGAGCAAGATTTGAATGCTGATCTGTTGGGATGTTGCCCAATATTTATCCACTAGACTAGTTTGCCTCAAAAATTAAGGGTATTCATCATCTAAGTCCTAATGCTTGTGCTCAAGCATGGGAAATATGTAAACATCTATGATTTATTTGGGGATTACAGAAACGGTAGTCAATAAGGTTTTGATTGACCAGTCATATTTTGTTGCAGATTTGAAAGAATGGAAAGTATGTATGCCTTAGTTGTGTATTTAAAAAAGTCCCTACTCTCCTATTCCTATACATACATGTGTAATCACTTTATTACTACAAATCAAAACATCAATGAACTACGTGCTTTATGACAATACATTTTAGGATGCCTGAATATTGAATTCCTTTTTTGCTGTTTGAAAATGACCTTAAACTTGACTGATATCTGCCTTCAAGCACTACATGAGTCTGTGAAAACTGGCATTTAAAGAACAGATTTATTGTTTGCTGATGAGGAATTTCCTTTTATGTTGAGAGTATACCTAGTTGTTCATTTTTGACTTTTTGTCTAAGGTCAAATGTGGGATCAATTTAAAATTTTATAAGTCCCTGTCTAAAACTCTGTCCTACTATAACCATGATGATCTACAAGACTGCTTCCATCTCTCATTTCAATATGTGAAAGTTCTATTAGAATTTTAGGTGACAAATTGCTTGCAGCATGAAGCCGCAAAAAACAAATTAGAGAACTCCACAGCGGTGCTGTTAGGGCATTCTCACTACCTATCAAAAGGCAGAGTTTAAAATCAATTGGATGATATAAAATGCATTTCCAGCTCTAGTTCATGTTTCTCCTTTCCATGAAAAATAAGGATATCGAATGCGACATGGAATTGAAACAAGACTTGAAATAAGAAATTTTTGAAGCATTGAAGTCCTCATCTTTAATATCTAACATGTCAGACATTTCTTTACTGCTGCAGTTTTTGCCTCTGTCAAAACTATGAGAAAGGCACCCCTCTCCGAAATGAGATGAAAATTTAGGGGGGAAAAATCAGTTTTCTTCTACCAGTCTTCAAACTCGGTTCTAATACCCTTAAGGTATGTTTCATGGCAGCACTGATTCACTGTAAGTTACAAAAATACTATTTCTTTCATTGACTTACTTCCTAGCTCTTACTATTTTCATTTTTTCTACCCATCCACTCCACCTCACTGTTGTTTTCATAAACTTTCAAAACTTTGGCTCTAATATCCTCATAAGCACCCGTAAGCCTCCAGTTCTAACCTTCCTCATATTAGTCCTGAGATTAATCCAGGAATCTGGATATCCTGGATTCCCTATGTTGCCTTAAAGCCAACACATCTGTGGCCAATATCATTAATGTTTTTAAGATTAGCACTTTCGTCAAGAGATAAAGCTGTTAAAAAAAGGAACAGGTCAAAAATTGAGTCACTTAGTATCTAACCTAATTGTGGTTTTAGCCTCTCCCAGGAGTGAAATTTTATACCAGTCAGTCTAGAATTTTCTGATAGTATTAGTGAAGTAGGAGGCCTTATAAGACCGCCTGGTTTCTCTTAAGGGAAGTTAAGCTTCCCTGAAATAATTCACTCTAAACTTCCTTCTTCTACCTTTTTATGACTATCAAATATTTCTACTTTGAAGGACTCTTAAGAGGACACATCTATCTGTTAGATGGGATGCTGCCTGATTCATGAACTGCTTTGTAAAGTTAATTATATTTTGAAATTTACTGGGATGAATAAATTTAAAATTATGTTCTTTTATAACATACCATAATGCTTCCAATCTCTTAATACTAACTGTGGGTTATGTTTGAATTCTTCATTTTAGTCCCTCCCCACATTAATTATACACTAAATTTTATTGACATTTTTTAGTGTAACACCCCTCTCTCTTATTTCCCATACAATCCCATATAACGTATTCACATATGTGAAATAATTATCTTTTCCTACTAACTCAGTTTTGCCTATTTCAACAAACCCATATATTAATCACATCTTTTTCATGCTTTAAATATTATATTGTTCCTGCTACTCACATGATTCAATATCATTAACTTTGCTTACTTCCAAGTTAGTCCTAATTTCTCCACTTACTAATTACCTGGCCTATTAGTCTCTTAAAAGCATCCTTCCTAGTTTTCTGTTCAACCCTGTCTCTCACTATTTTCCTACATAATCCCTCTTACTGAATCATTATTTCTACGACATATACAACAATAATTTCAATTGTGCTATTTCTACATTTCTTAAATCATTCTTATTTTTCTTAAGACCATGATTCCTATAATGACCTGTCTCAAATTCTCCTGTGATACCTTAATCTTACCTTCTAACCATTTATCATCTATCACATATCTTCAATATGTAGAAGACCAATAACTACATACCCAGTGTTCTATCTCTCTGGCATATTGTATGTTCTGGATGAAAGACCTTTTTTCTTTTATTACCTAACAAGATATTCTGATAGAATTTGATGATATTCTGCTATAGCAGCTTTAATAATATTTCCATGGTCTTGTTGAAGATCTTTGTGATGATATTGACTATTTTAGGATATGATTGGCATTGGAAACAAATTCACATTCCACCAAACCACTTGTGCTAGTAACCCTACTCCCTCCACTTTTAACCATTGAATCCAAGACTTATTCTTAGTGTATTTTGCCTGTGTATGTTTTGATTATTTATATTCCACAGATAAGTGAACCCATTTGATATCTATCTTCCATTCTAAATCTAGAAAATAACCACAGAAAGAATCCCAAAATAAACCAAAACACATGGAGATAAAACAAAATGCTTCTGGACATCTCCTGGGTCAAAGAA